CACACGCTCAGCACCCCCAGAGTCAGCACTCCCAGGCTCAGCACCCTCAGCAGCACCAGAGTCACCAGCGACCTCGACAGGCTCAACAGCGTCTACCTGGGACACACCTGAAGGGGCAGGACCCTGAGGGGGGAGGGGGTCTACCGGGGGGGGACCTGGTACAAGGAAGAGCGGTGGCGGGGGGAGGGACGGAGTGCGGTAGGGGAAGAGGCGGTAGTAGGGGACCGACTCGTCGAACGTGACGTCCTGGGAGGACAGAACACGGCGAGAGGTGGGGTGGTAGAACTGCCACCCTGGGGCGTCAGGGGGGAAACCCAGGAAGACGCAAGGAGCAGCACGAGGGGACAGCTTGTCCGCAGACAAGTCGCGGACAAACGCCCGAGATCCCCAGACACGGAACGCAGACGCATCGCCAACCTTCCCCGTCCACAGTAAAGCTGGGGAGGTCTCCGGCATGGAGACCCTGGGCTGAAGGTTGCTCTGATGCGCTGCGTACCGAACCGCAAACGGCCACAGAAAATGGGGGGCAGCCGCATGCATCATGGACGTACGGGCGACGTCCATGACCATGCCAATGCGGCGCTCAGCAATCCCATTTTGCTGTGGAGATTCCGGAAGCGTGAAGGTCTGGCGTCTGCAGCGGGGCCTCCGTCGGAGGAAACTGGGAGGAGTGAGGGGCAGCCCGCTGCCGCCCCTCGACACAGGGGACGCAGGTAGGGCCAGGCCCCGGAGGAAGGGGAGGGAGGGACCGGGGAAGACCAGAGACAAGGACACGGGAGGCCATGCCTCGGAGACGAAGCAGGGAGGGGTGACCAAGGCGGTGGTGCCAGAGGAGAGTCTCGTGAGACAGGAGGCGACACGAACAGGGGGCAGACTCAGGACCAGACCTGGACGCTGCAGCAAACACCTGACCCGACGCAGCTACCTGACCAGACGCAGTGACTGGAGGAGACTCAGTGGTCAGGGTGTACAGGCTCGACCCCGGCCGACGGGTAAACGTGGCCAGGTGTCGGCCTGTCCGAGCGTCCGTGCAGTGGGTCACCCGCTGACTCGCAGGAGTGAACTGGTGAACCCCCGCATCCTGTAGGTCAGCACCACTCACCAAGTTCGTAGAGAACGAGGGAAGGTAAAGACCAGACAGGTTGCCAGAGGGGGCCGCCGGACACGGGAGGACAGTGGAGAAGTGAGCAAGGACAGGACCCCCAGAGGGGTCTGCCAGAGAGACTGCAACTGGCCGGCCAAGCGGCGTGAGTGTGGTGCGGTCTCGAAAGAAGGAGCGAGAAGCCCCCGAGTCAAGGGTGAAGGTGTGGGAGGCCGAAGCCGACGCAGAACCTGAGAGAGCAGACTCACCAGCACCTGAGGGAGCAGACGCACCTAGAGCAGCAGCCTCGCTAGCACCTAGAGCAGCAGCCTCACCAGTACCTAGAGCAGCAGTCTCAATGCCCGGGTCGGGCGGAAAACACCGGTAACAGTCACCCTCATCACTAATAGTCACAGTATACATGGCAGCAAGAATAGCATCAAAGTCAAGGTCAAAGACAGCTACACCCGCCCTAGACAGCTCACCCCAGCGGGGGATCTCAGTGGCCTCAGGGAACTGGTGACGCCAAGCGTCCGTCAGGCGGCCAAAGCAGCGCTGGGTGAAGTGCGCACCCCCGCACTGCTCACCCGTGCGGTCGCCGATGCGTAGGACGTAGGTGCACGGGCCAGTACCCCCACCCCTCTGGCGTGCATTGTACCACTCACGGAGCTGCTGAGGGGAGGGGATGTCACGAGTGCGCTGCTGCTGCTGCTGGCGCTGACCACCACCGGAGCCGCCCCTCTGTGCAGCGCCACCCCGACCAGCTCCACCTCCTCCGCCGCCTCCTCCTCCACCTCCGCCACCTCCGCTCCCACCGCCACCGCCACCGCCGCCTCCGCCTCCACTGCCGCCACCGACACCTCCGCCCCCGCCACCACTCCCACCGCCACCCCCACCCCCTCCACCGCCTCCACCGCCGCCTCCACCGCCCCCGCTAGCTCCTCCAGTGCCCCTGCCCCCCTTGCCCTTGCCAGGGCGACGTCTCCCGCTAGGGGTAGACGCCGCACCGACCGACTCAAGCCCAACGAGGTCGGCCGCAGCAGCAGAGGCAACAGAGGGCAAAAGGGGGGAGGGGGAACACCCCTCAAAGATGGGGGTGCGAGGGTCACCACGAGAGGCTCCTACAGCGACTATGCTCTTCTCTGCTGCTAGGAGGGACTTCTCGAGGAGGTCAACGGTGAGAGTGGTGGGGCAAACAGAGAGGAAGTGGTCCCTGACTACGCGAAGGGAGTCAGGGAGCCGGGTGACTATGTAGTAGAGGGTGATGTACATGGGGGGGGGGTTCTTGGCGCAGAACTCAGCAGGAAGCGCAGCGCGGTAGCGAGTGTCACTAGTGCGGAGGTGCGTAATGAGGTCAGCGACTGTGGGAAAGGCAGCAAGGTCAGGGAAGAGGTACGGTAGCATGAGGCGGCTCAGTGCAGCAGTGGCAGGGGAGGAGTAGCGCGCAACTACAGCGTCGTACAAGGTCTGAGCACTCTTGTACTGGCTAAAGTGCGCACGCTCAGAGGTAGGCAGGTGGCGACGCACAGCAAGACGTGCAGCAGCATCGCGAGTGGCCCACTGGGAGCGAACAGTGGCGTCGGCATCAGCAGCAGGGGCAGGAGAGGCACCAGAGGTGAGGTCAAAGAGGGAGAGACCGTCTGCCCTATCGCACTGTAGGAAAAGCTGCAGGTCATCTACCCAGACGTCAAAGTCAATGGCCCTACCCTCAGCGTCAAAGGCGAGGACACTAGGGGTAGCCATGACAGCAGTAGACTAGCAGCGCTAACAGTAGGGTGAGGGCAGTGCAGGGACAGAGGCGCTGCACTTACCGGACAGGGCGACTCGGGTGGCTCAGCTGCTCGGCGGCTCGGCAACTCGGCGGCTCGGGCGGCTCGGGCGGCTCGGCGGTACGACGGCTCGGCTGCAAGTGCGGCTCGGCGACACGGCGGCTCGGGCGGCTCGGGCGGTACTGCGGCTCGGGCGGTACGGCGGCTCGGCAGGCCCGGGCGGCTCAGGTGGCGCGGCGAGGCCGCGTGGGGAGCGGCGGCGGGGCCGAGTGGAGCGGCGTCGGCGGGTGCAGTCAGCTGCGGCAGCAGCCGCGGCCCCGAGGGAGGTGGTGGCGGCTGCTGCTGGCGACGGCTGCGGCTGCTGCTGCAGGGACGGCGGCGGCCGCTGCGGTAGGGGCGGCGACGGTGGGCCGGAGAGGGCGGTGCGAGGGGCCGCGTCACGAGGAGCCGCGGAGGGCGGCGACTGGCCGTGAAGGGGGGCGGCGCGAGGGGCCGCGGAGGGCGGCGACGGGCCGTGAAGGGGCGGCGCGAGGGGCCGCGGAGGGCGGCGACGGGCCTTAGGGGGCCGTAAGGGGCCGCTGAGGGCGGTGCGAGGGGGCGACGGGCGGCGCGAGGGGCCGTAAGGGGCCGTAAGGGGCCGCACGAGGGGCCGTAAGGGGCCGTAAGGGGCCGACGGGCGGCGCAAGGGGCCGTAAGGGGCCGCGCGAGGGGCCGTAAGGGGCCGCGCGAGGGGCCGTAAGGGGCCGTAAGGGGCCGTAAGGAGCCGCGCGAGGGGCCGTAAGGGGCCGTAAGGGGCCGACGGGCCGCGCTAGGGGCCGTAAGGGGCCGTAAGGGGCCGCGCTAGGGGCCGTAAGGGACGGCGCGAGGGGCCATAAGGGGCCGCTAAGGGCGACGCGAGGGGCCGTGAGAGGGCGCGACTGTGGGAGCGAAGCGCGCTCCGGGCAGGAAAAAAAAAAAAAAATCGTGGTGGGCCCTAGGAAGCGTTCCCACTAGGGAACCTGCTCGATACCATGAGAAGAAACAAGGAATGGATGAACTATGAATGAATTGGGTACAAGTGCTAACCCTAATTGGGTTGTACCCCTTATGGGCTACCCCACTATAGCCTACACAATATGCATGAGCTATGATGTTCTGACAGAAACTTGGTGTCCATGGGGGTGGCAGCAGGGTTAAGTGGAGTGAACGAGTAGGTGTCTAAGATGGAGGTGATGAATTTGGATTGATGAAGGTGGAGAGTGCGGGAGGTCCGATCACGAGTGATGTGAAAGCCAAGGTAGTAGGAAAGAGGACCGAGGTCACGAAGCTTGAAGCGAGATGAAAGGGCACGCTTGAAGGAGGAAAGAAGAGAAGAGGAGGAGGAAAGAATGATGAGGTCGTCAACATAGACGAGAAGCATGAAGAAGGATGCAACTGTAGGCCGATAAGGAGATTATGGAGGAGCAATGAAGAGGCCGGGGTCCGCACGGGCAGCAAAATGGCGAAAGGCAGCAAGCTCTTCACGAAGTTTGCGGTACCAGCACCGCGGCGCTTGCTTCAACCCGTACAACGGTTTGTGCAAGAGACAAACTTGCTCAACACCATGGACCGCCGGAAGTTCATAACCGGGAGGCTGCATCATGTAGAGAATTTCATCAAGAGTGCCGTTGAGGAAGGCGTTGGAAATGTCCAGCTGATGGACTTCTAGGTCGAAAGCGGCAGCAATGGTGAGGAAGAGGCGGAGGGTGGCGAAGCGGACGGTAGGAGCAAAGGTGTCATGGAAATCAACACCGTCGCGTTGTTTGAAACCTTTGACAACAAGGCGGGCCTTGCGACGTTCGATAGAACCATCAGCATGCTCCTTGACCTTGAAAATCCATTTGCATGGAATCGGTTTGCACTTGGGTGGTCGAGAAACAACGCTGTAAGTGTCATTAGCGTGCAGGGCAGCGAGTTCCGCATCAGCAGCCTTGATCCATTCAGCAGCATCAGGGCCAGTGCGGGCCTCATGAATGGTTTGAGGTTCGTAATGATGATGAAGGGCGGCATTAGCGGATGTCTTGGAAAGAGGAGGAAGGGTGAAGTCAATGGGTTCAGAAGGAGACGGTAAGACCTTGAGCTGTGAGAAAAGTGAAAGAGTGGAAGGAGCTGAAGGGGATGGTGGTGAGGAACTAGAGGTGCAAGGAGGAGGACGAGCTGAAGAAGGAGAGGAGAGGGATGGAAGGCGGAAGTCTTGCGGCGTCGAGGGCAGAGGAAGGTTGGAAAACAAAGGAGGAGGAGAAGAGGTGGCTGGTGCGGGCAGAGTTGGAGATGGTAGGAGGAGGGTGGTGGAAGAGGGCATGGGTGGTGAAGGAGAGGGAGGGGAGGTTGGGGCTGAGAGGGAAGGGGGTGGGGGAGGAGGCGGAGATGATGATATGGGTGGTGGAGATGACGATGGAGGTTCTCGAGGGTCATCGGAAGGTGGCGAAGAGTGCTCCATGAAGATGACATCACGAGAAAGTGTGACACGGTGCTGAGATGGGATATAGATGCGATAAGCCTTGGTGCGGTCAAGATGACCATACCCAACCATGATGCCGGCCGTGCTTCGGTTGTCGAGCTTAGAGCGCCGTTGCGGAGGAATGAGGACTGAAACGGGTGAACCAAAGATGCGGAGGTGTGATACGTCTGGACGTGCACCGGTCCATAGTTCTATGGGAGTCTTAGAAGTTGAACCACCCCGACTAATGGCATGATTTCGGAGATAGGCAGCAGTGAGAGCGGCTTCACCCCACCATCCTTTGTCCATGTGTGCGTCATGAAGCATGGAACGGACCATCTCAAGTATAGTCCGATTGGCGCGTTCAGCAACTCCATTTTGCTCGGGTGTGTACGGCGTAGAACGGTGTCGAGCGATGCCATGAGCTTTAAGGAATGAAGTGAAGGCGTCGGAATTGAACTCCAAGGCACCATCGGAGCGAAACGCTTTGATGGTCCTTGGGGAATGCATATTGTGCACCCGAGTGACGTAATCTTTGAAGCATGAAAATGCCTTTGAACGATGGCGTAGGAGATACACGGTAATGTGGCGGGAATAGTCGTCGATGAAGGTGAGAAGGTAGCAAGCACCTCCAATGGTAGTTCCATATGAAAATGGTCCAGCAATATCCGAATGCATGAGTTGGAGCGGTGCTGTGGTGCGAGAATGGGATACGCCAAATGGTTGACGCGTTTGTTTCCCACGATAGCACGAGATGCATTGGGGAATCGAGGAGGAGGAGAGGTTAAGACCGGTGACCAGCTGCTGCCTATGAAGTGTTGACAGGTCCCGCATGTTAAGATGCCCGAAACGACGATGCCAAAGGTATGAGGAGGTGGTGGTGGAGACTGGACATGCCGTGGGGTTGATGGGGGGGGCGGCACTGCTCCCATGATGCAGCTGAAGATAAAACAGATTGTTGCGGGTAAAGCCCTCGCCGATATGAGCCGCATCAGTTTTGAGCTCAACCCGCCCTGCAGTGGGGAAGGAAACGGCAATGCCGGCAGCTCCAAGTGCACGAACCGAGAGGAGGTTGTGAACCGATGAAGGGAGAAACAGAACGTTGTCTAGCTGGATGGTGGTCTCCGAGGTTTGTGAGCGAAGAGTAGCCACCACCGTGCCGACTCCCAAGACTTTGTAAGTTTCTCCACCACCAAAACGAACGATAATATCATCAGTTGGCTGCTGGAGAGATGAAAACAACGAGCGATCGGAGCATATATGGGAAGATGCACTGCTGTCCACCAGCCAGGAAGAAGTCCGGATCATGTTTGAGGAAGAGGCTGTGAGTGCCGATGCGTAGGGAGCACCATAAGGGAAGAGGAGGAGGAGGAGGAGGAGGATGGTGAAGATGAAGACAGCAGCGACGAGAGGAGTCCAGGTGGGGAGGATGGGGCGGTGGCTGGTGCTGAAAGCTATGTCAACGTACCGGGAATCAGGTACGGACTGAGGGGCTGATGGGGCAGTAGGTGTTGTGGAGATCGAAGGGATGTCGGCGGAGGAGCTTGTTGACACATGCACCGAAGGCTGGATGACAGATTTCTCCCGTCGAGAGCTTTCTTCGAGCTCTTTCTTCTTCTTCAACTTGAAGCATTCGTCAATGGTGTGGCCGGTTTTCTTGCAGTAGCGGCAAGTAGGGGACTGGCGGGAACCGGAGCGAATAGGGTGGGAGGGCTGGGAATGGAGGTTGTATGCACCTTCCATATTGCGGCTTGTACCAGATTGTGACCGCTCCCAATCGGCATCGAGTAGTCGTGACTGCAGGTATTCAACCGTCATAGACTTGATGTCTTTCACGGTGCAAATAGTTTCTGTGAGAGTCTTGAAGGAGTCCGGCAGATTGAGAATGATGGAGATTACCACCACCCAAGATGGTAGCTCGAAGCCGGCAGATTTGAGTTGGTGCGTGAGATTTCCAACTCGATCGAAGTAGGAGCGAAGACTCATTGTTGGGTCCATCCGTGTAGTGATGAGATCTCGAAGGAGAGCCACTTGTGCATGGTTACCCATGCAGTCAAACCGCGCCATGATGCATCCCCACATATCCTTCGTCGTGTTGGCTTGAGCAAGTGTTAGTGAGAGTTGAGGATGGACGGCTGACATGAGAAGATAGTACGCATGCTCCTCTTTTTCTTCATCTGGCAGCGAAGCAATCGAATGGGCTGTTTTAGGGGCTGCATCATTGTTGCCTTCAGTAGCATCTCCACTGCTGGTTGTGGAAGAGGAAATGGAAGGGCGGGCAGCAACCTTGGGATCTCCAAGAAGGGAGATCTGTTAGAAATAGTCAGTCAACACTTTGTACTATATTCTATATCGGTTAGGTTACTTTGTAGGTTGGGTGTAGATTTGTAATCCCAACCCTATCTGGTTGGGATTCCCTCGTAATCCTGCAAATCTGCCAACTCACCAATTGGAGATTTGCTAGGATTCCCATCCCATCCTTTCCCTAGCTTTGCTCAACCCAACCCTGTTTGTACTTAAGGCCTAGTGCCTTCCTTATCAAGCAATCAATTCAGTTCCAATTCTATCATGGTATCGAGCTAGTTAATTCCGCTCACGCGGAATCCGATCCTTGGCGTCCCGATGGTTCTCTCCTTTTAGGCTATGCCTATTTCGGTTCCCGGCTCCTACGCTTAGCGTTTTTCAGAAACTTCACATCGTCTCTCCGGTCAAGCGCGCATTCGGCTTCCTTCATCGCGCATCTCGTTTTTCAACGGCGACATTCTCAGCTTTCGACTTCCTTCATCGTAAGCTTCTGGTTTTTATATCTCCGTGGCAATTTTCGCATCTTCTTAACTTCGAACAGGTTTTCAGCGGCGCAGCGGAACAGGTCCAGCGGCGCAGCGGAACAGGTTTTCAGCGGCGCAGCGGAACAGGTCCAGCGGCGCAGCGGAACAGGTTTTCAGCGGCGCAGCGGAACAGGTCCATCGGCGCAGCGGAACAGGTTTTCAGCGGCGCAGCGGAACAGGTTCAGCGGCGCAGCGGAACAGGTTCAGCGGTGCAGCAGAACAGGTTCAGCGGCGCAGCAGAACAGGTTCAGCGGCGCAGCAGAACAGGTCCAGCGGCGCAGCAGAACAGGTCAGCGGCGCAGCAGAGAAGCGGAACAGGGGCAGCAGCGAAGCAGAACAGGGGGCATTGGCGAAGCAGTATATCATGGTATAGTATGGGCATTCTATTGCCAAAAATCGCGTTTCGAACTTCCTCAATTTCCAAAATCACCCGAACTCCGCTCCGCTTCGCTCCGCTACGTATCGGAGACTTTAGCGCTGCGCTCCGCGCGAAATGGCAACTTCAACTTCCACTCTCGTCGGAAACCTCATCATCCTTAACCTCGCTCCCAACGGCACGAGCACCAATTTCGGGGAGTGGTGCTATGGAGTGGAGAAGCACCTCCTTAGCTCGGAGCTCAAGGGGATTTGCCTCAAGGACATCCTCCTCAATCGCGGCAAAGGGAAGATGCCTCTCCCTCCCGATCCTCTCGGCGAAGGCGCCACTGCCACAGCCAAGCTTGCTTTCGACGCTAAAACCACCAAGTATGAGACGGACTTCGGTCTCTGGGAGCAGGCGGATGCGGCAGTGATTAGGGTTTTCATCACCACCACCCCAGTCGAGTTAGTCAAGTCCTACCGCACCTTCCGCTCTGCGCATGACATTTGGAAGTACCTCCAGGATCGCTTTCATGACAAAACTGCCGTGGGAGTTGCAATCCTCATTCCTCGCATGTTCCAAATCCGCCTTGAGGAATGCCCGGGCATGGCAGACTACATCTCTGAAATCCGCAACATCCATGAGGAGCTCAAGGACATTGGGATCACCTTCCCCGAACAGGCACCTGCTGCTGGGCTTCTCGTCGGACTCACCCCGGCCTACAACGTCACCAGTTCCATGCTCAAGCAGCTCCCCACCAAGGAACTCACCTTCGAGAAAGTCGCTTCGGCCCTTCTCTCTGACGAAAAGGACCTTGCAGCCCAGGCATCCGTCAATGCTGTGCGCTACTCCCCTGGCATCCCATTTCGTTCCCAGCAGGGCCAGAGGCGCAACTCCTTTCCTCATTAGGAAGGGTCCACGTGCGGGGCAGAAATGCAACGGCACCAACCACCCTGAGGCAACTTGTTTCAAGAAGCGAGATGACGAGTGGTATGACGTCCACGGTGTCTCGAAGGACAAGCGCCCTCCCAACTGGGCACCACCCCGTCGCGTGAACCAGGTTGAGGCAGTGGAGGAACCTGCTCAGGCATTTGCTAGTGCCCCATCTGATGTTCGCCTTAACCTGTTGTTCTCTGGTGCTGGTCTTCTTAATGAGAAGGGGTCGCAGTACATCGGTGTTTCAACCACACAGGGAATTGAGTTCATACTAGACAGTGGTGCCACCCACACAGTGCTTAAAGACCAAACTGCCTTCGTTCCCTACCAGGCTCCCACCTCACTCCTTGGAGCCGATTCTAGCTTCTCCATCCAATGCCATGGGTCCTCCACAGTTTCCTGTCCAGCTTTCCCATCCGGCACAGTCACTGGCATCTGTGCCCCTACCCTCCGCTACAACCTTCTTGCACAGCGGGAAATCCAACACGCAGGCGTGATCACCATCTTTCCCAATGATGTTGACTACTGTGACATGTTTGACGCCAAAACCGGACTCCATCTTGCCCGCTTCACCCTCAACTCCAACAACCTGTACACACTAGTTGTACCTCCCGTTCAAACATGCTCCCTCACCAACCTTCCGCTTCCATCCTCAGACTCCCCCTCATGTCACTGCCGCCTCCTCAATGACAAGACTATGCTATTTCATAACCGCCTCGGCCACATCAACTTCCGCGCACTTTCAGACCTTGCCACCAAACAACTCCTTCATGGGCTGCCCGCCTCACTTCCACAACCCCCCTCTCTTTCTGGACCACCTTGCCTTGACTGTGCACAGAGCAAGCTTCGAGAACAGCCCCATCCTCCCACTGAGTCCACCTCTACCGCACCTCTTGATCGCGTACACATGGACCTTTGGGGTCCAGCTCCTGTTCGTTCCCGTGGCGGACACTTCTACTTCCTTGTCATCGTTGATGACTATTCCCGCTATGTGTCCGTTCACCTTCTCACCGCCAAGTCTGAAGCCCCAGCCATTATCATGGAATGGGCAAGGCAGGCTCATTCACACTTCAAAACCAAAATCAAGATTCTTCACTCTGACGGTGGCGGTGAATTCCGCAACAACACTCTCAAAGCTTTCTGCTCTACTGAGGGTATTCGTCAGACCTTCACCCTCCCAGACAGCCCTCAACAGAACGGTGTTGCTGAGAGCCGAA